GTGTGTGTGTGTGTGTGTGTGTGTGTGTGTGTGTGTGTGTGTGTGTGAGAGAGAGAGAGAAAGAGAGAGAGGAGGAGGTGTCAGTCAAGCTGTCAAGTGAACAGTTGATTAATGAGGCGCTGGAAGAGTTTTACTGTATGAACACACACACACACACGATCTCTGTGGTACTGTAAATGTGTGCGTCCCACCTGCAGCAGAGTCAGAGGTTGCATACCAATCTGACTTTCTATTTTTTCACTGACGGGTTTTCAATTGCTTGATTTCCTTTCTCTCTGGCAAGGCTAAAGGAAGACAGACGAAAAGAGAGGGAGAGGGACATTTTGTAATTTTACCACCCAAGTTCACCCTTAACACCACATCACATGAGCTTTCCATCCCTCTCTTCTCTCCTCAATTTGTTATTTCTGGGTTGCTCAACCTTTTGTTCCATCCATTTTTTAATGAATACGACAAAGTTGACATAGCTCCTTATCTTAGTCTGTGATCTCACACACACATACAGTACATGCACACACATACACACACGCACACACACTCGTTGTGGGCTCAGGGAAAGAGTGAGTCCTTCGGTTATTTCTGCTGATTTTGTGTTTTAACAGAAAATCAATCTGCTACTAAATCACTGTGAGAGGGAACAGGAGGAGGCAGGGAGAAGGGGAGAAAGAGGTGGCTTTGTATTTAAGACGGTGCTGCAGGCAGAGACTTCTGTGTTTGTTTTCTGACCCGAGGATTCATCTGCTTTGAAATCAGTGCGAGAGGAAACAGGGGAGAAACAGAGGGAGTGTGGGAGAGGTGTGTGTTTGTTTATTGACTGTCAGAGAAACATATTCACTTACACTAATGGCTGGGAAAATGGCAATTTCACCCATTCCAGATCCCCAAATGGGAAGCTGACATAAGTTATTTGTAATAAGCAATAAACGTTAAGCAGCAAAGTGAGACAAAAATCAAATCAAATCATTTTATAATTTTTCATAATGACTCTGACAAACATTTGAATGTGCATTATATATTTATTATTTTATTAGGTTGTCATTGTTCAATATTTATATTCAGTTAAATTGAATGGGGATCATTTTTAATTTAGTTTAAAGCCACATCAACTAAATCATCATTGATGTTACAAGTGTGGGGGAGAAATTGGAGAAGCCAATATTATAAGACAATTTCCACTTATTATAGATTAATTGGAAATATAGTATGTCGGATTATTGTAGTTTATAATTGTTTAGATTTTTTTTGTCATAATTCTGCTGTATCTTTGAGATGTATTCACATATATGTTGTTATATGTGTTGTTGTTTATAGTTGTTATTACAGCTAATTTAATTTAAGTGTTGTTTGCTGATCGTCCGCAGATAGTTATTATCGTCTGGGCCGAGTTTGAGAGCCGATACACTTTCCAACATAATATCGTTCTTAGCCAAATAATTGGAAAAACAAGACTGATGATGAGTTTTTCTCTCCTTTTCTCCGTGCAGATAGAGAACCTCCAGGATCAGCTGAGAGATAAAGAGAAACAGCTGGGCGGACTGAAAGGCAGAGTCAAGTCTTTACAGACGGACACCTCAAACACAGACACAGCACTGGGGACACTGGAGGAGGCTCTGGCCGAGAAGGTACACACAGACACATCCCTGTACATCTATCTCTGTGAGGACACTCATTGACATAATGCAACCCATAACCTGAACCCTAAAACCAAGTCTCAACCCTCAAACACGCCTTTGAAAAGAATGTCCTCACTTGCCAGAAATGTCCTCACTCTGAAGGTCTGAAACTCAAATTGATCCTCACAAAGATAGATGTACGAGGAAACACACACATTTCGCTGGTCAACCTCAGGTCAACTCCAGAGCAAGGTTACATTAATAACAAAACCACTTTGAGCAAAACAGCCGACCACCCAGGCAATGACCAAATGACTCTGGATAAATGGAAAGGAACCAATAATCACATCGGCTGTTTCGTGATTAAATCCCTCACAGCCTGCGTTCGCAAAAGATTAAGAATCCAACATGCGGTCTAAACCAGTGGGATTAGAACCAACAACCGCACTGTCACCGTCTGCGTGTAAACATGCAGGTGTCACAGCCATTTAACAGCCCTGAAACACCTGAGCATGGGAACTGAACCTTCAACTGCCTGTTTGATGATCTGTTACTCTGCACACAGGACTCGGCCCATGATTCTGGGAAACGAACCAGTGACGCTTACACTAGCAGACCACTTTAAAGTGTTTGATGAGAATATATTTTTATACTGTAATGCACGATTATGTTACCCACTCCATCTCCTTTGCACGCACGCACGCACACACACACACACACACACACAGAGGAAACGGGGCTATTAATTGTCCAGTGACTAATATCCAGGGTGTCAGCTAGATGTGTGAGTCTTGGCAGGCGGAGGTGGTCGACGACGCTAACTTCACTCAATCGACTTTCGCAGGCTTTTCTTCCTCCATTTTCATTGTTTTGGTGCTTTTGGATGTCTTTCCTTTCTTCCTTTCTATTTTTCCATCCCCCTCTTGCTTTCTTTACATTACTGCTCCTTTCCTCTGTTACATGCTCTGTGCTGTGTTGTGTTTCAAAGCAACGGGTTTCTACCGTGTGTCGTGCTTTGTTTAATGCCAGTAGTTTTGTCTTTGCAAACAGTATTGAATATACACAATCTATACCTTGTATATCTATACCTGGGAGGACTCTCATTGACGTAATGCGCTTACTATTCCCTAAGCCACATGTGAACCATCAAAACTACACCCCTAAGTCTTACCCTTATGTTAATCTATCAATAATCAATAATAACTCTTTTTGATAGTCTATAAATCGTTAAAGTCCTTTCAGTCAAACATCAAATATCAGGTTTTAACCCTGTGATGGGTGCATACATTAATTTATAGACAAACCAATTAATCCGATTAATTAAGGAAATAATTGATAATAATAAAAATAATCTGAAAGGGATTTTTAAAGAAGTGAAGACTTCACTTTCCAAAAAAAATGTTTCACTCTCAAGGCTGAAACCTTAAATCGATGCTCGTGAAGATAGATCTATAGTACAACAACACACACACACAACATACACAGCACAGTCAGGTTACACTTAGGCTTTCCGTGCTGCCTTTGTGTGTGTGGGAACTTTAATGCTTCAGCTTGAACTGGCCGCTGTGTTGTTCTATAGCTGGAGAGTGTCGATAGTGTTTTAGTGGTTGTGAATATTACATCTGGTCCCAGAACGTATTACGTGTCTAAAATCACTGTTGGCTGTTAGATCCTGTCAAAGCTGCCATGTACATAAAGTTTAATGCGACTGTTATTAGTATAGAAACTTGATATTGAGTGACTGTGAATAACTGTTGGAGTGTTGACTGCCTCTCTTTCTCACCTCCTCTTTCCCTCCCTTGACTCTTTCTGTTCTCTATTCTTCTAACTTCCATCTTCCCCCCCCCTCCTCTTCCTCCTCCTTCTTCTCGATGTCCAGGAGCGGATCATCGAGCGGCTGAAAGACCAGCGGGAGAGGGAGGAAAGAGAAAAGGGGGACGAGATGGAGTCCAGCAAGAAGGAGTTGAAGGAGTTGAGGGAGAAAGTCTCCCATCTGCAGGCTGACCTGGCTGACCGTGAGGTAGAAGACAGACACATGGAGACACTCTCAAGCGAATCTGTGCTACAAGTCAGAAAAACACACTCTCTATGTCCCCGCCAAGGAAAACGGGATTGATCTATCACTGTAGAACAGATCCCGGATCCTCCCGAGGTCCTCGTGCTGAAGGACAACAATGATAAAACAGTCACATTTCCTTGACAACGATATGCTTCACGAGCAATGAAAACAACGATTGGAGCTGGATTCTTCTTGCCTCGACCTTTGTGATTCATGCAAAACACCACAGCAGAGACTCAGAGGGAGAGGCAGGATGACACAGCGTTTTTAAGCCCTGGTTTTGCTTGCGTCATCCTGCAGCAGTTGTTACAATTAACCACTTCAGAAACACCTAAATGTATTTTTTATAATAATAGTGTCCATACCAATGTCAAACCAGAACCAAACAATAAACCAAATTTAGCCAATTCCAACATTACAACATTATCTTATCTTTAGTCAAAACGAGAAAGGAAATACATGCACTGATGCATAAAACTAAAACTATTATTACATGTAAAAACACACACAACATCTACAGCTAAATTGTGACATCACAAAACTGAAAATGTGCTTTCAGGTGCATTTCATCTTTTAAGTCTTAAGAGGAATAGTTTCACACTTAATTAGCTGTCTTGCGGAGAAGTAGATGAGAAGGTTGATACCACTGTTTGTATGCTAAATATGAAGCAAGAGCCAGCAGGAGGTCCACATTTTTACATTTCAGTTTTTTTTTTCCAGATTAAACAAAGAATATCCAGTGTTAATTAACTGAGCTTTAAATGTGCTGGTATAGGCAGACTTTTTAAAACTTTTTATCTTTGGGACATGGCAAGGCTAGCTGTTTCCCCCTGAATCCAGTCTTTATGCTAAGCTAAACTAAGCTAACTGCCTGCTGGCTCCAGCTTCATATTTAAACTACTGTCAGAAATATTCCTTTAAAAGTCCCATATTGTAGGAAGTGAGTCTTTTGTGGTTGTAAACCCGTATTCAGAGGGTGAATACAAGTATATTCAGACAACCAGTAGGAGAAAAGGGCTTTTTGAACTTTAAGGCTTGTAAACATTTTCAAGTAGAAACCCAAAATACAAGTATGAATGTGAAAATGAGCACAGTATACACCCTAAAATCAAATGCACATATGTTGTAGTGAAAAATCCCTTATGCCTCTCTTGACGTTTGCGCTCCAGTAATTTTAGTGATTGTGGGGTCATAAAACCTGTTACAGTCCCATTATATAATTTGAGATATACATGGGAAAACAGACATACCTCTCTTCACTGCTAAACACAGATGTGGGGTTTGTCTGACAACAGCAATGTACTGTATCTATATACGTCCCTAAATATAATCTGAGTAAGCACTAAGGTTTCTCTAACCAAAGCCCAGTCAAACATGATGATCTGTAGTCTGGAGTTGGTATTGTCAGTCAAGGGTGAAATTACACGTCTGAGTGTCTCTCCTTCTGGTCCGTCGGTTTCTGTTTGACTGGCCCGACCAAAAGAGGAAAAGAAAGGGAGAGAGAGACTTCACGGATGGAGGGATTGAGCTGGAAGAGTGAGAAAAGAGACAGGTCATGGGAAAAGCTTTTGAAGAACAAGGGGCAGAGTCAATCTCGCAACTGTAGGAAGACCTTAAAGGATCATTTTATATTTAATATTAACATGAGCCAGAGGATTGTACGCACCAAATTGTTCGCTGAGATCTGGGAACTCAGCGACGTTGCTAAAAATACAAAAAAGGAGCGGTCATGTTTTAAACAAACCCGCCAAGTTGGCCAAACTTATTTGAATGAGGAAAATGATGAACTGTAACATTATAAATCACATGTTTTCAGCTGTAGTTTGCTGTGCAATGGGGATCATTATCAACATTTCATGTGCGCGCTCTTTCAGACCTACCTTCTTATAAAGTTAAGAATGACTATCATATCTGGTAGAAAAGATAAATAAATATACAAAAACAAGACCCAAGTTGTATTAAGTGGACGTATCCTTTAAAAATAGGTTAATAACAATACAGCACTATACACAATACAGCGAGGCAGTTCAGTAGAGCTGCTCAGTGTCTGACTTCCTGCCTTATCACTCTCTGCCTCTGTTATCTTTTATTTCCTTTCAGACTTCAGTGTTGGATCTGAAGGAGAAGGCTTCCTCTCTGGCTTCGTCCACTCTGAAGAAGGACAGCAGGCTGAAGAGTCTGGAGATCAGCCTGGAGCAGAAGAGAGAGGAGTGCGTCAAACTGGAGAACCAACTCAAGAAGGTTAGCTGTCCGGCAGCGCCGCACCAACATACCGTTCCATCCCCGCCTCCAAAGTCTCAATAGTCAACTAGACGAGCAATGTGCGAGCACGTAGGGAGGGCCGAGCTCACGCTCGCCACAGCCCGACTCTCATTTGTGAACGCGGAGGGGAGCGATGTTTTCCGCTAGTGGATACTGTTCTGTGTTCTGTTTTTTATGTGAGCGTGTTTTGAGAGTAATTAAAGGCCGTCGACAACAACTGCCAATTGAAACCATCAATTATATGAATCACAGCGGTGAATAAATACACACAGTTCAGACAGAAACACAACAAATGGAGGATTTGAAACTAAAGAACCCCTCGTCTCTTTCTCCCCTTCGTTGTTTTCCCTTACTATTTTCCAAGAGAAATGACTGGCTGTGTGTGTGTGTGTGTGTGTGTGTGTGTGTGTGTGTGTGTGTGTGTGTGTGTGTGTGTTTGCATATCACATATTCTCTCCGACACAGCAGCCCATAAAATGGTGTGTGTGTGACGGCTTGCTGACAGCCTTACAGTCATTTTCACAGACTGGAGAAGACAGCACCACCACCACACCCTGAATGTGTGTGTAGGTCGTGTGTGTCTGTGTGTATGTGTGTGTGTGTGTGTGTGAGAGAGAGAGAGAGAGAGAGAGAGAGAGAGAGAGAGAGAGAGAGA